CAAATATATCTGTTCAGCGAATGATGCTGGTAACCCACTCCAACGCGTTGAAATACAGTATACGTATATATATAGATATAGATATAGGAAAACCATTTTGAAGTAGGAAGATATATACTTAGGAGACTCTAGATTTAAAACCGGAATAGACTCAACAAGTAGGGACAAGCACATCAAACAATAATAAACAGTTAAGTAGAGATAACATCATAAGGAATACGCATCTAAGGTCGCAGAACACTTTTCAATTCAAACACATCATCATTCAATCATCATTCATATCACATAATCATTGATGGCGCCACGGGACCAATCGCATGCCCCGAACATGAGGGTTAATTCCTATAGCATTAACACGGCCCCGCAGCACCCTACCTCAGTATCGCGGTACGAGGGGAGTTGATCGCAACCAACCCTTTTAGAACCGCTGACGAACTCAACGTCGGACTACAATCCGACACACCGCTGACGCGCCCAGTCAATGGACCGTGATCCCCTTTACAAGGGGGGACTTACGACCCTACACACCGTTGATGCGCACAATCGGTGGGCCGTAGCGGATCAAGCCCGACACACCGCTGAGCTAAACTCAGTCGGTGGGCAAAGATCCTCGGAGACTACGGTCCTACATACCGATGTCCTACCACTCGGTGGATCACAGCCAGCCGTAGCCCTACACACCGCCTGATTACTCAGGTCGGTGAACTACAGCCTTCCTCGGCTTGTTGGCCCTACACACCGCCTGCGCGTCCAGGTCGGTGGGTCATATCACCGAGGCCCATATGGACCTTCAGTCCTATACAGAATCTTTATATACCTGACCGGTCTCTACCAGCCTGGTTAACAGTTGGGATGGTTCTCAACCCATTCAACTGCCCGTATAGTGGACCTCAGTCCTATATCATATTAATATCCCTGACCGATCTTAACCGGCCTGGTTTACAGTTGGGATGGTTCTCAGCCCATTCAACTGCCCGTATAGCCCAATTGGTCTTAACCAATTTGGGGTCATGCATCATGTAACACACAATAGCACATAATAACACATAATTCACATAGGGAAGGGGGAGACATATAATTAAGCTTACATGTGATCATTCACACACTAAGAATAGTTCATAAGGGCTCATATAACTTCCACCTAGGTCCACGGGTTACCAATTCAACTAGCATGCAATTCCTAAGACTCGTTTAACCTACGAATGGTACCCGAAATTCCAAACTAGACTCAGGCACGACAAACGGGGTCCATTGGGACACCATGGGGAACGGGGAACATCAAACGGGGAAGCTGGGGACCCGGGGTGGGGTATGGACCAGCGGGTAGCCGGTGGGTGGGGGTCACCCGCCGGCTGCCCGCCGGTGAACACTGTTCCGGGCAGCGGGTAGCCGGCTGCCCGGTGGCTGCCCGCTGCCGGGCAGTGCCCTTTGGGCAGCGGGTAGGTGGTGGGTTCCCCTACCCCCACCTACCCCCCACTGACTCATTCATCATAAATTCGTCCCGGGATCCTTTGTGGAACCCGAAACCATGCTTAGACACTTTTAAACGCAAATAACGACATCACATAAGCAATTAACGGATCAAAAGCAAGAATTGTGTAGGACTTATCCTATTACGGCTTAAATATAAACAACACCCGATCATGCGAATTCCCACCCAAATATAAATCAAGAACATCCTCAATACAAATTCTCAATCCAACCTAGGGCTCTAATCCCACCCAAATCATCAGGAACATATTTTATTTTTAACATCCAGAAAATATCAAGATTCGTCAAGAATCATCAAATCATAATCAAGAACTTCTTTCTAACATCAAGGTCACAAGATTCTCAAGAAGGCATATAAGTCATCTTACCAATCATCAAGAACATAACATAATTATCATAGAAGAATTCAATCAAGACACAAGAATATAGAGGGAGGCCAAGGAAAGAGATTATAGTGAAGAAAATAGGTTTTGTTGAGACATGGGTTACCTCTTAGCCTTAATTAATCCTCCCTTGGCTATTAAGGTTCTTCCCTAAGATTTTCATCCGTTTGATCTCCCTAGGCTTGGTGGTGGGGAGTCCCTTGGGAATTCTTGTGTGGTGATATCTATTATGGTGTGACTTCTAGGTGCCTCTTATGTCCTTATATATATATCTAGGAGTCCTAATTAGGGTCTGAATGGTATGGGTTTACTAATTCTATTCCTTATAGGACTAAGGGGCTTGGTTTAGGGGTAAGGGTCCATGGTCCATGGTGGACCATATTAATTAATTAAAGGGAATCCTAACCAGATTAAATCCTTTTTAATTATTATTAACGGGATTAATTCAGGATTAAAGGCCGTAACACGGGGTGTTACACTCTCCCCCCATACAAGAAGCTTCGTCCCCGAAGCTTAGAAATCATTTTTTTTGGGTAAAGAGCCCGAATTAGTATAGTATTTCATAAGGAAAGTATTATATGGGAAATATATACACATACACATATAAATTCACTGGGTTTGAGTCTAGCTAAAATGCACCATATGTATTATTCCACACGTTAGTCTAGTGCATGATTTAACAATTAAATTTACGTGCTTAATATCATGGCATAACCAAACCTTTGACATATAAATTCAGGAGGGTCATGGAATCATATGACAATATTATTCAAGTAGCGAAAATTAGATTCTGAGGAAAATATTGTAAGTAATTAGGAGGAAGACTCTTGCTTCTTATGGGGTAAATATAAATTCTGGGGAGACAATAGAATTAAGATCTTTATTTTGTATACCATGGGTAACGGTGGGTGATCACATAACAAGTATTGGCACTTATATGCAGATTGCTTGTAATTAATAATATTGTATATATGTATAGTGGGACGCCTTATAACATACTGTTTTTGTCTAACGTGCTTTGTATATATACATGAATGTGTGTAAGTGTGCATTTTACATAAACATGCGAGCTATGTGATTTGTCATGTAATGCACATGAAAAATATAAATTTCGAACTATAGTTTGGACCATGCAATTTGCATACAAATATTTTAGTAATTACGAGTAAGATAGCCTAGGTTCACAGGTACTAGAGGTTCTACCTTGAGAATTTAATCACACAAGCACTTAGGAAAATTAGTTTTATCTTGATGGTAATTAGATTTTAGGTAGGCATAAATCTTACCTCTAGAGGCCCGGGATACCTAAACAACTTTAGAGTTGAAGACCCTTGGTTGCTAATTCCTAAATCAATTGATGACCTGATGATGAGACTAAAGTTTTTAATTATTTAGGGAAGGTAGGAGTGATAACAAGGAGGTCATGCGAGGGGGAAAAGTAGAATTAGGGCTATCCCAGGATATGTATATATATATATATATATATATATATATATATATATATATATATATATATATATATATATATATATATATATATATATATATATATATATATATGTATGTATATATATAATAGTGATGTAATTTGTATGGAATGATATTTCAAGGTTAGGATATGCTAAGGGCAAGCTTAGAGGTGTGCGTAAGATTATTGTAACTAGGGTGCATGTGTATGGTTTGGGGGCTAGTGATTTATTATATATAATGTAACAATTTATATGGATACGTATGAGTAGGGGAGGATGTTCTATGGGCTCACAAGTTTATACACATATATATAGATTTAAGCGTATAGGGACGTATCCTACATAACGCAACCATTTTTAAGATTAGGCAAGGTGATTTTGGATTAGGGTGTAATTAAAAATGAAAATAATAATAATAATGATGGGGTGAGAACCCCAGCACAAGAAAGGTTGGCCCAAGAAGGGAATTCAAGACAAGGAACGTGGGCCAGCATCGAGGGAGGCCCAGTGAGTGTTTGGGCCAAGTCCAGGAGTCGGCCCAGGCTCAAGCATAAGAGATTTGGTTCGAAGACGATTGAAAAAGCCCAGTGAGAGCTTGGGCCGGGTCCAGGAGTCGACCAGGGCCCAAGCCCAGAAAGGAACTCGGTTCGGAGAGCCGTTAAGAGAGCATTGAAGAGCTTCATTTAAAAGGACCCAGAGCCGTTGGAGGCACTAAAGGCAGGACTCGGTCGACCGGTTACCAATCTGTGAGAGCCGTTGACCGGCCTGGTAACGGCATCCAACGGCTCAATAATTATAATTAGCCTTGAAGTCGACCATTAATGGCCTTCAAGTCGATAGGGGGGAGCCTGCTATATAAAGGCTCCTCCACCCGTGTAAACGAAAAACAAGTTCATCCCCGGAGAAAAGAGAGACACACTTGAAGCCATTAGAGTACTTTCATTTCTTTTACAATCCTGTGTGAAAAGTAAATCCACCAACTAAGGTAGTGTTGGACCTCCCTGGGCCCGTAAACCCAAAAACCAACACTGGCGCCGTCCGTGGGGATCGATACTAAGAGTTGCGTGGCTCTCTAAGCAAAGCGAGTCCAAGAAGCGACCGGAAGGATTCCAGTCGTCAAGCGACCGAGAAAGCTTCCATCATGGCAGGAGACCAAGAACAATTGAGCAACCACGGCCCCGGACTGGGGGCAGACTTGAGAGACCAGTTGAACCAGTGCAATGCTTAGAGCCGGGAGAATGAAACGGCACCACCGGTAAACCGACAATAGCCTCAGGTACCTCTCACCTCGGAGCAACTCCATGCGATCGGGTGAGCCTTCGCTAGGGCAAGTCGGGGAGTAAGAGAACAATCCGTCTCTCGACCATCACACCGTAATCCACCGCCATCCCAGAGGCCGAAAGACCGACCAGGGAGTCGGCGGGCCGAAAGCCAGCCAGTACAGTCCGTCCACTCCAGGCTGGGCCCGAATGCCGGACGACCGTCGGCGAGAGAACGACTGGGACAGAGGGAGCCTAGCCGCGCACCGGCGGGCCCTCGAGATCGAGAAGCCAGGCGCGAGAGAGCTCACACCCATAGAACCAGAACTAGAGCTCGCCGTACAGAACAACCTGTCTGCAACAATGACCGACCGATTGAATCTGAAGTCGGCGAAAGTATGGAGTCGACAGGAAATCATACCCATGATGGGGGCCAAGTAGCGCACCTAGTCCAGGAAGTGCGGAACCTGAACGAGCAGGTAGAAGGGAAGACCAAATCTCCTGGTCGAACGTTGTTGACCGCCTTGCCTTTCTCGACCGAGATCATGACGTTCAAGATACTAGGTGATTTCAAATTCCCAGAACAAGCCACGTTCGATGGATCCGGTGATCCTCGAGAACACTTGCTGAGCTACCAAGCCAAGATGCAAGTACTGGGGGTCCGGGACCCTGTCATGTGCCACGCCTTCCTACCCACGCGGAAAGGCTCGGCGCAGAGATGGTTAGTGGCGCAACCTCTGGGGTCGATTCACAATTTCGAGGAGCTAGCCGATCGCTTCATGAGCCACTACGTAGCCAATATCAAACCGCAGAAGGACCTAACACATTTGGGCGACGTTCACCAAGAAGAAGGTGAATCTCTGAAAACCTATCTAGCTCGCTGGCAGAAAGAAATCCAATCTATTGAGGAAGTCGAGGACCAGACCGCGCTCACCTTTTTCATCGAGTCTTTGCGGTCCGGTCAGCTATACCGAGATCTGCGGGATAACCGCCCGGCCACCTACGCGGAAGCCATACACATGGCCAACAAGAGGGCCAACACGGAACAGGCTATGAAGCACAAACGACAACGCGAGGTCGGAGGATCCGCCGATGGGAAGAAGACGCAAGCCGAAACAAAGGAAAGGCGCCCGGAAGTGACCCGGCGACCCGATGCCAGACGGCCATACGACAGGCCCGTCGTATACCCCTATCGGCCGGTTCCCGAACGGCCAGTGCACGAGGTACAAGCAGTCGCTTCACCTCCGCCTCCGCCGATTAACGACCACGCGGTAAGCGATGAGGCAGGTAAGACCTCTAAATACTGTCGTTACAACAAATCCTACACTCACAGCACGGAAGAGTGCTTCTATTTGAAGTAGATCATGGAGGGTATCATTTAGCAAGGGACCCCGCCTCCTAATCAGTGGAGGCGGAGGTCGGCCACTCGGGGGGACGGGGATCCCACCGCCGCCGCGAAGAGCAGTCGGGGCAAGCAGCCGGCTTCTGAGGAAAACGAGGCTCAATGGCGTCAGAAGCCGGTTATCAACATGATAGTCGGCGGGCCGGAAGGTGGTGACTCAGCGAATACTCGAAAGGCCTGGGCTCGATAGTTGTATGTCGGGACGGTGTACGGGCGCGAGGAGAACTCTAAGAAGGTGTGCCGAGAGCCCATCACTTTCACTGATAGGGATTTACCTGCGGGAGAGACGCCGCATCGAGATGCGCTGGTTATAGCGATGGACATCAAAGGGGTAGTCGTTCGTCGGATCCTGGTCAACACTGGGAGCAGCGTCAACGTGCTATACCTCGAGACTTTCACCAAAATGGGATTGACCCGAGAACAGCTGAACCCCGTCAAAACGCCACTCGCCGGTTTCACAGGGGACTCGGTGGAGGTATAAGGATCCATCACTCTACCAGTTGAGGTTGGCAGTTATCCCGACGTACAGAAACTCAGTATGAAGTTCATCGTGGTGAATCTAGCCTGCTCACACAACGCTATACTCGGCCGACCAGGTCTGGAGGATCTAGGAGCTCTGATTTCAATCGAGCATCTCTGCCTGAAATTCCGCACACCAAGTGGGATAGGCACAGTGCGTTGCGACAGGAGAATCGCCCGCGACTGCTACCTACAGGCCTGCAGAGGAATGGGCAAGCGTGAGATGCAAGTCCATGAGATCACGGAAAGACCCCCAAAGAAGACGATGATACCTCGCCCTGAGCCGGCTGTGGAATTGGAAGAAGTCGAGATCGATCCCGATCAGCTGGATAGGCCGGTCCAAATTGGAGTCGGCCTCCCTGAGGAAGTACAAGAAGAGGTCATTAGAGTGCTCTGAGAGCACCAGCTGGTTTTTGCCTAGGGACCGGAGGACATGCCCGGTGTCGACCGATCCATCATTGCTCATCGACTCGCCGTAGATCCCGGCCATCGGCCGATTGTGCAGAAGAAACGATATCTCGCCAATGATCGAAGGGAGTTTGTAAAGAAGGAGGTGAGCACGCTGTTGGCTGCGGGCCACATTCGAGAGGTTAAATACCCAGAATGGTTGGCAAACGTAGTCCTCGTACCCAAGCCCCCGGCTTGGCGGATATGCGTTGACTATACCGACCTCAACAAAGCCTGCCCAAAAGACCCGTTTCCCTTGCCTCGGATCGACCAGCTAGTCGACGAAACCGCCGGGTCGGCCCTGTTAAGCTTCATGGACACCTTCAGAGGGTACCATCAGATTTTCATGCATCCTGCAGACGAGGAGAAGACCGCATTCCTGACACCGGATGGAGTGTATTGTTATCGAGTCATGCCCTTCGGACTCAAGAATGCCGGAGCTACTTATACCCGGATGGTGGCCCGGTTGTTCCAAGATCTGTTTGGAAAATCCATGGCTGCATACGTGGACGACATGCTCGTCAAAAGCCAAGAAGAGGACGAGCGTGCGAGAGACCTGACCGACTGCTTCCAAGTAATGATAAGGTATAACCTCCGGCTGAATCCTAAGAAATGTGCCTTCGCAGTGCAAGGCGGAAAGTTCTTAGAATATATGGTTACCAAGCGAGGCATTGAGCCTAACCCCGAGAAGGTCCAAGCTATCATCGACATGCAGCCTCCCAGTACTGTCAAAGACCTACAGCGGTTAACTGGTCGATTGGTTGCCCTAAGTCGCTTCCTGAGCAAGGCGGCGGATAAAACTATACCTTTCTTCGAAGCCATGAAGAAGAAGGAAGGCTTCGCCTGGACAGCCGAGTGCCAGCAGTCGTTCGAGGAATTGAAGCGGTACCTTTCTACGCCTCCCGTATTGTCCACCCCCCAGGTGGGTGAGCCTCTGTTTTTATACTTGGCCGCTTCCCCGAAGGCGGTGAGCTCGGTGCTGGTCCGAGAAGAGGAACGTGCCCAGCACCCGGTATATTATGTGAGCCGCTCCTTGAAAGCCGCCGAAACACGATACACGACCTTAGAAAAGATAGTTTATGCGCTGGTGATCACCGTGCGCAAGTTAGCGCCGTATTTCCAAGCCCACACTGTCCGAGTGTTGACTGATCAACCGTTGGGGAGCGTCTTGCGGAACCCCTCGTCGTTCGGTCGCCCAGTGAAGTGGGCCGTGGAATTAACCCAGTACGGGATTGAGTATCAGCCACGGCCTTCCATAAAAAGCCAAGCCTTGGCCGACTTCTTGGTCGAGTGCACAGCGGGCGAAGAAGAAAAGGTACGCACCTCGGAAGATGACTTCGGCGAATGGTGGGAGATGCACGCGGATGGAGCCGCCAGTCGACAACATTGTGGGGGCGGAGTCATGCTAATCACTCTAGAAGGATTCCGACTGTATTACGCCCTGAGCTATTTGTTCCCAACGTCCAACAACGAGTCCGAATATGAGGCAGTGCTGAATGGTCTTCGACTCGTCAAGGCACTGGGAGTAGAATGATTGCGAATCAAAACTGACTCTAGATTGGTAGTCGGGCAGATCTCCGGCACGTGTGAGGCTAAGAACGCCCGGATGACCCTTTACAAGGAGAAGGCGGTGGAGATGTTAAAAGAGTTCAGGGCCTACGAAATAGAATATATCTCTCGGATAGACAACGTGGAAGCCGACATACTGTCCAAGATCGCATTGGAAGGAGTGCCGGATCACCTTATTAAGATTTGCTAGAAGGAAGAGCTGAGTCGGCCGAGTATCGAGGAGACGCCGTCGGAAGTCCAGCAAGTGACTCGCGAAGAGTGGGATCGGGAGAAGAACCCCGAGATGTTTTGGATCGAGGATATCCGACGGTTTAAGGAAATAGGCGAATTGCCCGAAGACCCAGGAGTCGCCGCTAGGGTTCAACGGAAAGCCCCTTCGTTCCAAATCCACGATGGGCAGCTATACAAGCGGTCATTCGGAGGTTCTCTTCTGAAATGTCTGCTCAGGCCCGAGGCCGAGAAGATAATGGATGAAGCCCATAGAGACATCTACGCCGCCCACCAGGGTGCCCACACACTTGCTCGAAAGCTAGTCGTCCAAGGATACTACTGGCCGACCATGATGCGGGATTGCATCGAGTGGATAGCAAAGTGTGGCGTATGCCAAGCTTTCGCCAGGAAGGACACGCGGCCGGCCACCTTTTACACCCCGGTCACCACGGCCATCCCTTTTGCTAAATGGGGAATCGACTTGTTGGGACCATTACCAGTCGCCCCGGGAAGCTTGAAATTCTGGGTAGTGGCCATCGATTACTTCACCAAGTGGATCGAGGCCGAGCCACTAGCCACCATCACCGAATATCAATGTCGACGCTTCCTATGGAAGAAGGTGATTTGCCGTTTTGGCTTGCCGGAGCATATCGTTAGCGACAACGGTCGACAGTTCGACTGTCAAGCGTTCGCCGACTTTTGTCGTCGACACGATATCCGTCACACCAAGGTATCCGTGGCATACCCCCAGGCCAACGGACAAGTCGAGAACGCGAATCGGACCATAGTGGACGGGATCTGAAAGAAGTTAGAGGACATCGGAGGGAATTGGGCGGATGAGCTTGACCAAGTCCTATGGGTTTATCGTACTACGCAACGACGAGCGACCGGCGAGAGCCCGTTTTCCCTAGCATACGGCTTCGAGGCCAAGGTACCGATAGAAGTCGTAGAGCCCACTCATCGAGTCTGCAGTTATTCCGATGAAGAGAACGAAGAGAACCTCCGAATTGAGAAGAATTTCTTAGAAGAAAGAAGGGAAGCCGCAGGCGCCCGGATGATTGAGTACCAACAAGCCGTGAAAAGATATCGTGATCGAAGGATTTGCCCACGAACCTTCCAAGTCTAAGACCTCGTGTTGCGAGACCAGCAGGCAAGCCAACCCACGGAGAGGGGGAAGTTCGTAGTAAAATGGGAAGGACCGTACCGTATTGCCGCGGTGGTCCAAGCCGGCACCTACAAGCTTGAAACCTTGGAGGGCAGGCCCGTAGACCGGATCTGGAATGTCATCCATTTGAAGAAATTCTACCAGTAGAAAAAGGTTAGCCATGTACAATCACCTAAGTTTCGAAACTTGAATAAAAGAGCACGAATTACGGCCAAATACTGCTTGACTCGACGAGAGAGATAGGAAACAAGGGCCTAGACCCTTAGTCGTGAAAAAAGCTAAAAGGAGTCGCCTCGACTGAGGGACTCGGCGAGTATATAAAGAAACAACGGGGCACTGACCCTAAACTGTTTCTAAGAGAAGAAAAAGCCTAAGGAGTCGCATCGACTGAGGGACTCGGCGAGAGAGAAAGGAAACAAGGGCCCAGACCCTTAGTCGTTTCCGTGAAAAAGTCAAAAGGAGTCGCCTCGACTGAGGGACTCGGCGAGTATATAAAGAAACAATGGGGCACTGACCCTAAACTGTTTCTAAGAGAGGAGAAAAGCCTAAGGAATCGCCTCGACTAAGGGACTCGGCGAGAAGAGATAGGAAACAAGGACCCAGAACATTAGTCGTTTCCGCGAAAAAACCAAAAGGAGTCGCCTCGACTGAGGGACTCGGCGAGTATATAAAGAAACAACGGGGCACTGACCCTAAACTGTTTCTAAGAGAAGAAAAATCCTAAGGAGACGCCTCGACTGAGGGACTCGGCGAGAGATATAGGAAACAAGGGCCCAGACCCTTAGTCGTTTCCGTGAAAAAGCTAAAAGGAGTCGCCTCGACTGAGGGACTCGGCGAGTATATAAAGAAACAATGGGGCACTGACACTAAACTGTTTCTAAGAGAAGATAAAAGCCTAAGGAATCGCCTCGGCGAGAGAGATAAGAAACAAGGGCCCAGACCCTTAGTCGTTTCCGTGAAAAAGCCAAAAGAAGTCGCCTCGACTGAGGGACTCGGCGAGTATATAAAGAAACAACGGGGCACTAACCCTAAACAGTTTCTAAGATAAGAGAAAATCCTAAGGAATCCCCTCGACTAAGGGACTCGGCGAGAGAGATAGGAAACAAGGGCCCAGACCCTTAGTCGTTTCCGTGAAAAAGCCAAAAGGAGTCGCCTCGACTGAGGGACTCGGCGAGTATATAAAGAAACAATGGGGCACTGACCCTAAACTGTTTCTAAGAGAATAGAAAAACCTAAGGAATCGCCACGACTAAGGGACTCGGCGAGAAGAGATAGGAAAC